AAAAAAATCTTTAATTTTTTAATAAATTTGAAACGATTTGTGTTTTTCTCGTCGTTCGTGTCCGGACACTTTTTGTTACGTTAATTTTAGGCGTCCGTTTCATACTCTGTCTCACGGAAAAAGCAACAAAAATGTGCTGAACACTCTTTGCTCGAATCAAATTGATTTTGATTTTCTATCCGAACGATTTGATGCTTCGGGTTGCCGCGTTCTCCTTTATATACGTTTGCAGCGAATCTCATGTATTATTTGCCCTCAAAATCATATGTTTGCAACAACACCATCAGCTGTTTTCTTCAGAACAAAATAAAATGTGCCGAACTGAGCGGTGAACGCGTTTTGAAAAAAATTAAAATTATTAAAATATAGCCGATAATAACGATAGTGTTCATCAATACTATCGATAGTTTTCCACCTCTACAATCAATAACTGACCATAGGGATGAAACGGTACGAATAAATACTCGATACTTTTCGTTCGATACCAAGTATTTTTAGTGTCAATACTTTTGAACCAAGTACTAATTATTACTATTACTCTTATTGAATCATGCACTACTACTAATTGGTTCATGGGCTGAAGGCTGTTGGCGCCGGCTGCTTGTGTTTTCGTTGACATTTATTTCATCCGTTTAGTTTTGCTACGAAAAAAAAAACAAAAACAAAATCGTTTTTTTCATTTTCTTATGAGCTGTGTTTCCTTGGGCAATGAGAATTTTGCACGCAAATTTTTTCTGGGGAAACTTAGGATAAGGCAAAATATATTTTTCAGCTCCAAAATTTCTTCAAAAGGAGTAATCATTTATTTATTTCTGATTCCACTGGGCAGTTCATTATTTTTGTGTACATAAAAACATATACATACATAAATATTTATGTATTCCTAAATATACTTCCAATGTAATCTTTCTTTATTCAAGCAATATTTTACAAAAGCAAGCACATATATACCAGTACATATGTATGGATGTACGTTATTTGAAATTACTTCAATGATGAATAAAAATTTATTCATCATTCGCAAGTGCTTGAATGAAGAATAAAAATTTATTCGTCATTCAAAATTTTTTTTATTCAATTATTAATTTTCCCGATTACGCCAATCCCTGATATATACCAGTATATATGTATGTAAGAGTAAAAATTCTAAAACAATTACAAATTCAAGTACAATGCTAACGTTTTGGTTTAACGTTTTGTCGGATGCAAAATTAATTGAATTCCTAGCGTGTCACTATTTGCTTTATATGTATGTACGTAAATAAGTCAATAAACCTACTTCATATATAAAATTTAAATAAGATAGTCCAAATTAAATAGCCAACTCCAGCATCTAAAAATTTGTTTGTCCTCTCGCCTGTAGCCTCTCTTTTAAATTAAAATTCTGCATACTGCATTTGAACATCATAAAAAATTTACGCAAAGGGTCTTTTTTTAC